TCTGAGTTTCCACAAGAGTACAAAATTTTGAGAGCTCTCGTGGTTGTATATCTCTCTGTCTCTCTGATGTTTGTTAAAACTCTCACCGAAAACAAAATGAGAGCATGATTGATTGGGGGGACCTACAAGTGAGAGTGACCCCAATCAAATAAAAAATCTTCCCGAGATATGCTGTCATTCTACAATCTAAAATTAAGAGAAGAGATTTGAAATGGGTCCCACCCATTTTGGATTCAAGACAAAAAGTCAACAATCTGGGTTTTTCATATCCAGGTCAACCCAAAACAAGAAACATGTGGAGTGTTTCTACTGTCACAAGAAAGGACATTATAAGTCAGAATGCTATGCTCTAAAGAAGAAAGACAACCAGCGTGGTGAAACCTCAGATTCAGCTAATACGACAAAGGCTGATACTGTCGTTGTTCCTGAGACGGTTCTTATAGTTTGTCCATTGGATGGCCGTTCCGATAGAGTATGGATCTTGGATACGGGTGCGTCTTATTATGTGTCCAAATAAAAATTGGTTCACTACTTACAGATCTATAAGTGGTAGATCAGTTTTGATGAGTAACAATGTAGTTTACAAGACAGTTAGCATTGGTATAGTTCGCATCCAATGTCACGATGGGTTGATGAGAACTTTATCAGATGTGAGACACATCCCGGACTTAAAGAAAAATCTAATTTTTTTGAGTTCTTTGGATTCTATTGGGTGTTCTTACAGTAGTGGAGGTGGAGCTCTTAAAGTTTCTAAGGGTTCATTGGTTGTGATGAAAGATAGTAAGGTGAACAGTCTTTATGTTCTCCAAGACAGTACAGTGACAGACTCTACAGGTGTCCCCTCTGATACTGATAGGGACACTACTCAGTTGTGACACATGCGCTTAGGCCATATGAGTGAGAAGGGGATGACTATTTTAAGTAAATGTGGCTTACTCTGTGGTGACCATACATCATCACTGAATTTCTGTGAGCATTGTGTGTTTGGGAAGCAAACTCGGGTCAGCTTCTCGACTGGCTCACATACAACGAATTGTGTGTTTGGGAAGCAAACTCGGGTCAGCTTCTCGACTGGCTCACATACAACGAAGGGCACTCTCGACTACATCCATTCAGATTTGTGGGGACCTGCGACGAAGGGCACTCTCGACTACATCCATTCAGATTTGTGGGGACCTGCTCAGGTTCCATCCAAAGGCGGTGCTTTTTATTGTCTGACGTTTATTGATGATTTTTCCAGGAAAGTTTGGGTTTACTTTTTCAGGCGCAAAAACAAGGTGTTCGAAACTTTCAAGAAGTGGAAAATACTTGTTGAAAATCAAACTGAAAAGAAGATTAAACGTCTCCGAACAGATAATGACCTAGAGTTCTGCAGTGGTGAGTTCAATCAGTTCTGCTTAAATTCTAGGATCGTGCGATATCGCACAGTCAGACACACGCCTCAGCAAAACGGGGTGGCAAAACGTATAAATAGAACGTTGACGGAGAGAGCTAGGTGTATGCTCTCAAACTTTGGGTTGGATAAAGGCTTTTGGGGTGAAGCTGTTAACACAACTTGTTACTTGGTGAACTAGTCTCCTTCTACCGCCATTGAACACAAAACTCCAAATGAGGTATGGTCAGGTAAACCAAATGATTATTCAAATTTAAAGGTATTTAGATGTCCCTCTTACTATCATGTTAGAGAGGGTAAGCTTGAGCCTAAAGCTAAGAAATACATATTTATTAGTTATGCTGATGACGTTAAAGGCTATCGTTTGTGGAGTCTTGAACCTGATTCTCCTAAATTCATTATTAGTAGAGATGTTACTTTTAATGAAAGATATATGTTTGATCATGTGAAAGTTTATGTTGAGTCTACAGGAAATGTAGAGAAGACCATGGATAAGATGGAGCTTTAGGTGGAGCTCGAGGGAGAGACTTCTCAAAAGTCGTCTATAAAAATTGCTCCTACAGTTGGAGCTCGAGGGAGAGACTTCTCAAAAGTCGTCTATAAAAATTGCTCCTACAGTTGTAGAAGAGCAACATGATTCAGGCTCAGATGATGATGATGAAGTCGTCTATAAAAATTGCTCCTACAGTTGTAGAAGAGCAACATGATTCAGGCTCAGATGATGATGATGTTGAGACTGAAAAACCTTATTCCATAGCCACTGGCAAAGAGAGGAGACAGATCAGACCTCCTCAAAGATATGCACATGTTGAATTAGTGGCGTATGCTCTCACGGCAGCTGAAGAGATGTTTATTCAAGAGTCATCAAATTTTACTGAAGTTATCTCATGCAGAGAATCTGGACGTTGGGCCACGGCTATGACAGAAGAACTCGAGTCACTTTACAAGAATCAGACTTGGGATTTGAAGCAATTACCTAAGAGTAAATGGGCAATTGGATGCAAGTGGATTTTTAAGAAGAAAGAAGGGATCCCAGGGATTGAAGATGCTAGATTCAAAGCACGGTTAGTGGCTAAGGGTTATAGACAAAAGGAGGGAATTGACTATGATGAAGTGTTCTCTCCGGTTGTGAAGCATACCTTCATTCATGTATTGCTTGCCACGGTTGCTCTATTTGATCTGGAGCTTGAGCAGCTTGTTGTGAAGACTGCATTTTTACATGGCGAACTTGAGGAGGCTATCTACATGTCTCAGCCAGAGGGATACTTCGTAGAAGGTAAAGAAGATCAAGTTTGCAGATTGAAGTCTCAGCCAGAGGGATACTTCGTAGAAGGTAAAGAAGATCAAGTTTGCAGATTGAAAAAATCTTTGTATGACCTGAAGCAATCTCCCAGACAGTGGTACAAGAGGTTTGATAATTTTATGCTTAGTCATGGGTACTCAAGTACTTATGATAGTTGTGTGTACTACATGCATCTAGGAGATGATTCTTTTATTTATCTTCTATTATATGTCGATGGCATGCTTATTACAGCTAAGAACATGTCGCAGTATCTTATTTTGAAGAAACAACTCAGTGATGAGTTTGAGATGAAAGATCTTGGTGCAGCAAAGAAGATCTTAGGTATGGAGATCAGGAGGGACAGGAAAGCTGGAAGCCTGGAACATTATATCTCTCACAGAAGAGTTATATTGAAAAGGTGCTTGAACGCTTTGGGATGAAAAGGGTCAAGCCCGTTACGACTCCTTTGGCTCCTCACTTTAGGCTCTTGGCTTCAGATTCACCAACAAGTGAGAACAAGAAGAAGGAGATGTCCCAAGTTCCATACTCTGTGGGTACCATTATGTATGCTATGATTTACACTCGTCCAAACATTGCCCAGGCAATCAGTGTAGTGAGCAGATATATGGCTCAACTAGGGAAGACACACTGGGAAGCAGTGAAGTTGATCCTTCGGTATCTCAGGGGTACCTCAGATTTGGGTTTAGTTTTTTATAGCAGTACTTTGGGAACCTCAATTGTAGGTTTTGTGGATTCTGACTACACAGGTGATCTCGATAAAAGAAGATCTTTGACTAGTTATCTTTTTACTCTTTCTGGCTCAGCTATTAGTTGGAGATCGACTCTACAGTCGATAGTTGCTTTGTCTACTACAGAGGCAGAATACATGACAGCAGCAGAAGCGGTAAACGAGGCCATTTGGTTGAGAAATCTCGTAAGGGAGCTTGGACTTCTAGTTCAGTTGTATTTTACGACAATCAGAGCGTAATACATCTAAGCAAAAACTCAGCACATCATGAGAGGACAAAGCATATTGATGTCAGATATCATTTCATTCGTGAGGCAACTGCTGAAAGAAACATCACGATGAAGAAGATTAGTACTGCAAACAACCCAGCTGACATGTTAATCAAACCAATCCCGGCCTTCAAGCTCAAGCACTGCTTGAATTTGGAAGGCATTCGCACTTGTTAGGTGGCCCCGTTTGGGGCATTGTTTGCAAGACAGGTGAAATTCTCTAGTTATTGATGTTTGAGGATTCAATCCAAGGTGGAGATTGTTGACTTTTTGGCTTGAATCCAAAATAAGTGGGACCCATTTTAAATCTCTTCTCTTAATTTTAGATTGTAGAATGACAGCATATCTCGGGGAGATTTTTTATTTGATTGGGGGTCACTCTCACTTGTAGGTCCCCCCAATCAATCATACTCTCATTTTGTTTTCGGTGAAAGTTTTAACAAACATCAGAGAGACAGAGAGATATACAACCACGAGAGTTCTTAAAATTTTGTACTCGTGTGGAAACTCAGAGAGAAATAAAATTTAGCCCCCTCTTGTCGTGGAGTCGTGGACGTAGATCAATTTGATCGAACCACATAAATATTGTGTGTTTGTGATTGTCTCTCTATTTTCTGCTTTTGTGTTTAGTGTGTTAATTTTGATATATTTGATCAGACCGCTGCGGACCGTTGATGGTTAATTAACCCAACATTTTGCTTTAGAGTTCTGAGTTCGGCTTAGAATTGTTATCGATACTGGAACTCATAGGGAAGAAAATGGATTTATGTATGGAATCAAATGTGAGATGACCTCACAATCTTACTGACTAGGCTTTTCATTATGGTCCTATTAAAATATGACATTCATAATGTTGGTTGCGTCTGAAATAATGACAAATTTGGATTCATTCTATCAAAACCTTTCGTTATCTTATCAAGAAAATTGAAAAACCAATATCCCCTGCAACATATCGACACCTTTTCCACTGCATGAGCATTTATGCAATTAGAAAAGCTAATATGTCTATTTGAATATTTCTAATTATGCAAAATGCAGTAACATCGAATTGTATTGAACCGATTGTGCGGAATCCAACTACAAATAAAAGTGACCCATTGCTAAACTAGACCAAAACCTCAAAATTTCCTCAAGTCTGAAATAAAATCACTAAAATTAGTACGACCTTCAAGATCAATGACAGGGGCTAAGAGCACATAACTAGTTTCGAGCTAAAGCAAGAAAACCAGATATAAGGACCAACAGATTTGAGAAGGAAAATAGTGACAATAAACAAATGCTTTTAAAAGCAAAGAAATACCAAACTACCTTGATTCTTGTATTTCTCATACAGTTGGCTGAGCTCCGTATAGTTCGAGTTAGTCAGTCCACTGCAATAACAGTAGCAACATTATTATTGGATACAAGGTAAACATGAAGAAATGAAGCTACATGTAATATAGAACCATGCAATGTAGACTAATCTAAGGGGAATATTCACAAATATGTGAATAATACAATAACCAATCGTAAACCAATACTTGATATTACAAATTATAAAATTCACAGACATCTGAATTATTTCCGTACAGAGAAAAGTAATAATAAAAAATATATAAAGTGTATTTGCCTACCATTGAGACGCAACGTTCACAATCAACAGGACCTTCCCCTTGTAGGTGCTCAGATCCACATCATTTCCCCTTGCATCCTGCGTAAAATCAATAAATAAATAAACCCCAAATACATGATTTTGAGAATAAATCAATTTTGAAGACTTCAACCAATGAAAAAAAAATACTAAAATTAAACAAACGCCCCAATAGTCAAACAAATTTAGAGAAACTAACCCATACTTTCTCCCCAATCCAAGTAATCATAATATCAACAGTATTCAAATTGCTCATTAAATCAGGTTTTAAAATGCCAAAAATAAACGATCTCTATCATGATAAATCCTAATTTGAGAAATTTGACTCAACTTCCCTTAACAAAATTCAATCTTTTCAAGAACCCACACATCATGACAACATATTTACAAACAAGGCCAAAAAAAGATGACACCTTGACAGTGAAGTCGTGGACGGAGGTCGCAGACTGAGACGCCATTTCGGAGAAGGAAAGCTTGGGCGAAGAGAAAGGATAAGACTTTGAAATGGGGGAGCTTGTTCCTCTAAAGACCCTTGAAGGGCTAGAATAAATATTATGGGGCTTTTTGGACTGGAAAGTAAAGCTTTTGGGGAAGAGGACTGAAGAAGAAGAAGAAATTATTAGGTTTCTAAAAGAGAGAAATCGAGAGGAAAGCATAGAGGAGATTTTTGGACGGGAGCTTGTGCTCGTGAGATCAAAGCGCTGCCTACTTAGCAATTTATGGAGGATATTTTTGGGTGACTTTTACAAAAATGCTTCTGCACTTTAGAGATTTTACATACGACTCCTGATCTTTGTAAATTATGATATAAATTAACTAATCTTTTGTAAAACACGAGGGTGAATAATAAGGATTTTAATAAAGTTTAAATGGATTATATTGGATTTTAGAAGTCCTAAGTACTTTTGTCCAAAACACCAAAGTTGAGGCCATCTCTAACCCATCGCACCAAAATGGTGCAAATTTTGCATAAAAATGGTGCAAAAATCACATCAAACAGTAATTCATCTCCAACCTACTGCATCATTTTTTGCACCAAAAAAGAATATTCTTAGTATATTCTTTTTTATCTACTTTTATATTATTATTTTTTATTCTCTATATTTTTAACTATTTCAACAATTAACCCCACATATCAAATTTTTTTTTCCACATATTTTTCAAACAAAATAATTTTTTATTTAAAAATTAAACTAATAAAATAATAAAATATTATTTTATTAATTAAAATAACTATTTCAATATTATTTAAAAATGATAAAATATTCTTTTATTATTTTTACCATTGATATTGTCAAAATATTAAATTTAAAAATACAACAGAAAATAAAATACGGTAAAAAATGGTGTGATGAAAGTAATGGCGGGATAAACAGTGCGACGTCATATTTGACATCGCACTGTTCCTTTTCACCAAAATGACAAGGGAAATAAGGCATGATTTGAGAAGAAATAATCCCGTTACACCAAAATAGCATGGGAAATGGGGCATGGTTGGAGATGCCCTATTGAAATTTACCTAGCGTGCGAAAACGTTGCTTGGTGACGCATCGTGGTTGGGAGTAGGGGTGTCCAAAAAGCCCGTCGGCCCGGGCCCGACCCGGCCTCGGCCCGGAAACTCGGGCCAAGTCCGGGCTCCGGGCCCGGGTCGGCTCTTTGGTGCCCGGCCCAGCCCGGAATAGTGATTTTTTTATTTTGTGGTTTTTTTATTTATTTTTATTTTTGTATATGTGTTATATATGTATAATATATGTATATATAAATATATATAATATGTATAATATATGTATATATAATATATTTTTATATATGCATAATATATGTATATATAATATATTTCTATATATGTATAATATGTCATATGTATGTATATATATATGTTGGCCTTCTTGTTTTGATGATGTTCAACAAACAATTTACCACTAATGTTGTTTGTCTAGTATTTGTGTTTTCTTATTTATTATAGACAAATAACGTAGTTGGAGGATGAATGGAATAGAGCTTCAACGATGATATCCAAAGGAGGTTGGCGGAATGTCGGTGAAGCCTTGCAATTCAAAGTTAAAGATCAAGTTCAAACTTCATTCGCATGTGTACCAAGTTGAGCTACATTGAAGATCAAGATTGCTTGGGTAATTTAGTTTAGGTTTTATATTATGTGTGTTTGATATTCTAAGCTCAATATCATATACACACACACATTTATTGGCTTCTTCGTATATATATATAGTTATATATATACATGCATAGTTTTTGGGTTTTCATGTTTATAATATGAAATCACATATTTCATATTTACTATTGTGTTTTTTTGAAAACATTGCATAGAATATGCAATTTTGTGAAAATTCTATATTCTTAGTTTTTGGACTTAACAATAATCATATACATATTTTATTAAGTCTATATAATCATTGTGCAAAGTTTCAAAACATGGTTTAGCCAAAATATCAAATTTCACATGTTTACATTTTCATGTTTTGGCCTATTTTGTAAAATAATGATATTTTTTATTTGGGAAGTCCTTTTTGGAAACCAGTCATTGTAGCATGTTTATTATCATGTCTACAATCATTCTCCAAAGTTTTACATTTTTTAGAATTTTTTTGATATTTTTAAACAGTGTTTTAAAATCAGAAAAATAGTTTTCAGAACCTTTTTTTTTTTAGTATCAGTTATCGGTCGACCAAACCGGTCGACCGCTCATATGTTCAGTCGACAGTGGACAGCAGAGAGTTTGTCGGTCGACCGGTGCGGTCGACCGAGAGCTCGAAATTTCTATCGGTCGACCGCACCGGTCGACCGATGTTGGCTCTGCTCGATTCTCAGATTGGGTTCTGAATCGCGGTCGACCGCGAATTCTTTCGGTCGACCGCCGCTCAGTCTGACTCTCTCTAACGCTATTCATATTGCCTTTGTCAATTGCTCATTGTTGTTTTTCCCTCTATCTAGTTTATGATTAATTCACCCTTGTGTAAATTTTATATCCTTGCACATATATTGTCTATATCTCTTTGTTAGGATATATCTTATTGTTTATATATCCTTGCACATATTTCTATCATATAGGATATATCACCTTGTGTACATTGCATATTCTTGCACATATCACTTTATATATCTATCTTGCAAGAATATATTTGTTAAGTAATTTTAATTGGCATTTAATCGGATTAGATTAGCATAAGACCCTAATCACCCCCCCTCTAGGGTCTAACAGTGGCGTCGGTTGACGAACCTAGGGAGAGGTTGTAACCGAGCACTTGAGGGAGACACGTCTAGTTCAACACTTAGTGGGTGTAGAGTGGGATTACAATAGTGTGTTATTGTGAAGTTTTCGGTTAGCTAGAAAACCGAGTGTGAGGTGTAAACGTTGTTCGGGTGAACGTAGAAAACCCGGTTGTGATAGTGGATTTCTCCCCGGGAGTGGGGAGCGGAGACGTAGGACGGAAGGTCCGAACTCCGTGATCATATAGTGTGTTTGAGTGTGCTTTGGCGTTCATTTATATTTATGTTCATATCTTATATCGCCATTGTCCATAGCTTATTATTTATATGATCCACTATTTAGTTCATATTGTTTACCCCTTGTGTTAGTTTACATATCCTTGCATATATCATATTGTATATCTCCTTGGTAGGATATATCACCTTGTGTTAGTTTTATATCCTTGCACATACATTGCCTATATCTCTTTGTTGTTCATATTGCTTATCCTAGCTTACATATCTTGTTGTATTTCATACTTGCTAGGATAACTTGTTAATTAATTTTAATTGGCATTTAATCGGATTAGATTAGCATAAGACTATATATGTATAATATGTCATATGTGTGTATATATATACTCTCTCTTAGTATATAAGTATATATAAATATACTCTCTCTTATATAAGTATATATATGTATAAGTATATATAAGTATATATAAGTATACTTTCTCTTATATAAGTATATATAATAATACTCTCTCTTATATATGTATAATGTATGTATGTATATATGTATATATTGTTGGAAATTGAGGTTAAATCTGGAATGAAACAATGAATTAGATGTGCTGTATTTTTTTAAATTTTTTTAGTTAACTGATGTGCGTTATAGAAACGTTGTGCTTAAAGCAATATTTAGCCTACTCCGGTGTAAGGATCCCAATGCTAAACTATTTTCAGGAACAGCAGTGCAATACTCTGGTGTACACCAACCCAGTACTATCAAGATCTCCTCGATCTATAAGACCTTTCGGTCTAGGCAAAAGATCTCCTCGATCTCAGAACCTTTCGGTTCAAAACCTTTCGGTTTAAGACAAGTTCCTGTGGGCACAAGTTCTTGCAGCAGCAGCACAACAGCAACAACGTCGGGATCGACGTTCGTAGTCCAGCACGTGACGTTCGTGTTCCACGCTCGTGAGAGGATTTTTCAGCTATATCATAGAGCTGCCTAAGGGCGCTATTTATAGGCCTCTAAGGCCAGCTCAAGAGTCACAAGCAATTAATGTGACTGTTACAATTCTTAATGGTAATTAAGATTGTAACGTCAATGCATTAAATTGCTCTTAATACTGTTGTAACTGCTACATGCATTAACTCCTGAATACGAGGTAATCAATGGACGCGTTGCTATGAAATGTGAGGGTCACGTCTCAACAAATCAGACGAACCTCGTTTGACAAACGAACGTCGTCAAACAGACGAACCTCGTATGACAGACGAACCTCATCGAACGAGCGAACATAGTCATGCAGGTGAACCTCGCATGACATACGAACCTCGTCGATCGAGCGAACCTCGTATGACAGACGAACCTCGTCAACAAGCGAACCTCGTATGACAAACGAATCTCGTCGAACGAACGAACATCGTCAAACAGGCGAACCTTGTATGACAGACGAACCTCGTCGAATGAGCGAACCTTGTCAAACTACGAGAACGCTAGGATCACCCTCGTGCGAATACGTAGCTCGTCCGCATGCTGCGAGGCAACTTTCGTGGCAGCCAACGTGGAGCCAAACAGCGCCACCTCACCCCGATGCATCCGTGCGAAGTGCAAAGTACGCCTAACAAAGCGCCACTTAGCGCCTCAGCCCGATTAGCCCCGATCCCCGGCTCATTGGCCCACGACCCACGACCCACGACCCACTAGAACTTATGAGAGATTAATTCAAATAAAACACTTCTCGGCTTGCCGTTGGCAAGCCTCAAACAATGGACCTTTTGAAATACCAAAACTTTAACTTTCCACTAGACTACAAAGCATTTATGAAAAGTACTTATAGTTAATATATATATAGTTTGAAAACTCATTTTGGAAAGCTATTTTTTGACCAAAAAATCCAATAATCCTCCACAAGTTTTTAAACTAATGTCGTGTTATGGTGCCGTCATTTCAATCGTTGTTTCCTATCAATCATCCTGCATCCCAAATGCTTTGAACTCATTAAGGCTTAAGAATCATCCTCTCTCATGATAGGATTCTAGGTGAGTCCTTTAGACGTGTTTCCTATCTAACACCCCGCATCCAAAATGCTTTGGACCCATTAAGGCTTAACAGCCAGCCCCTTTACATGATAGGATTATCGGTGAGTCCTTTAGGCATGTTACCTATCCAACATCCCGCATCCGAAATGCTTTGGACTCATTAAGACTTAACAGCCAACATCTTTACATGATAAGATTTTACTTATAAATCTTACTTGACTTTTGAACCAATCATCTTGTCATTAGTAGCGTAAGTTTTGAACTAATAACTTGACAAAATGGTAAGTGTTTGTAAGACTCACCAAACTTTACAAACCTTACTTGACTTTTAAACCAGTTATCTTTATTATTAGTAGCATAAGCTTTGAACTAATAATTGGATGAACATGGTAAGTATTTGTAAGACTCACAAAACTTTAAGACTCATTGCAGCAGACGTCCTTTCGACTATGTTCTTTTTCAGACCTTTAGTCAAAGGATCAGTCACATTCTCTAAAAACCGAACGTCAATCACCGAGATGACTCCTTGGCCAATGAGTTCTCTCAAATAGCCATGCTTCAGACGAATGGTCAGCTTCTTTCCATTGAACAACGAGTTCCCTGCCACAGTATCCGTTGCCGGATTATCACAATAGATTGTAATTGCACCTTACAATTCTGTCAATGGAAGGTCTCGGAGAATACAACTGAGCCACTCAGCTTCATCTTCTGCAACACAGAGTGCAAAGAACTCAGATTCCATCTATGACTGTGCAATCATAGTTTGCTTCTTAGATTTCCACGAGACGGCAGCTCCGCCCATGGTGAAGAAAAAATCTCCAGTAGATCTGCAATCTGCACTCATCTGGTTCTGAGCACCAGCTCGCATCTGAATAGCCTTCGATTACAGCCGGATATCTAGTGTAGAATAGGCCCATACCTGTAGTTCCTTTCAAGTATCTCATCAATCTCTGGACAGCATCCCAATGAAGCTTTCCAGTATTACTTGTGAACCTACTAAGCATTCCTACAGCAAATGCTATATCTGGCCTTGTGCAGCTCATCACGTAAACCTACTAAGCATTCCTACAGCAAATGCTATATCTGGCCTTGTGCAGCTCATCACGTACATAAGACTTCTAATTATCTTTGAGTACTACAGCAAATGCTATATCTGGCCTTGTGCAGCTCATCACGTACATAAGACTTCTAATTATCTTTGAGTATCTTAGCTGCTCTACTGGTCTTCCAGTGTTCGGTCGAAGCTTCTTGTTATAATCATACGGCACTGACAGTTCTGGTAGGTCGTAGTAGCCATACTTCCTTAGCATGGTCTCGACATAATGAGATTGAGACAATCCAATACCCTCTTCACGTTCGCAGTTCCAAGGTCCTTCATGCTGAACTGAGCTGATAGAAATTTTTTGGTAGATGTTACTATCTCCAAATCACTCCCGATGATGAGCATATCATCCACATAAACACAAATAACCACCATCTTCCCTTCAGCGACCTTGATGTATAGACACTTGTCAGACTCACTGACTTAATACCCATTATTGCGAACAACCCCATCGAACTTTTCATGATAGAGTTTCGGTGCCTGTTTAAGTCCATATAGAGACTTAATAAGCTTACAAACTTTACCAGCTGGAGCATCAAGTCCTTCTGGTTTCTCCATGTAGATCTCTACTGTGAGGTCTCTATTGAGAAAGGCAGTCTTCACATCCATCTGATATATGACGAACCTTTTTATCGCCGCCCATGCGATAAGCACTCTGATGGTAGTGATCCTGCAAACTGGTGCATAGATGTCAAAGAAATCTATTCCTTCTCTCTCAGAGAATCCTTTCGCCACCAGTCTTGCTTTGTACTTCTCAATAGTACCATCAGAATGAAGCTTCTTTTTGAAGATCCACTTACAACTGATAGGCCTAGCACCTTCAGGTACATCCACCAGCTCCCACGTGTGATTTTGGATCAATGAATCTATCTCATCATCTATAGCTTCTTTCTATAGAAGAACATTTGTTGATTACATTGCTTCTTTGAAAGTCTGTGGGTCTCCTTCCACATTATAGGTGATGAAATCATCTCCAAAATCTTTTTGTCTCCTGACACGCTTGGAAGATGGTTCAGTAACTCCTTCATCACTGACATTTTTAGTTTCTCGCGAAACTGGCTCCTCTGGTACGTCTGACATACTAGCATTCTCTGCTATATCTTTGAGCAATAATTCTTTTTCTTTGATAAACTTATCCTCAATGAATTCTGCATCCCGAGCTTCAATGATGGACTTGGTTCCAAGATCAAGGAACCTACAAGCATCACTATCTTCAGTAAAGCCAAGAAACACACATCTGTTTGCCTTTGGTCTGAGCTTAGGCCTTCTGATATCTGGAACTCGAACATATGTGAGACACCCCTATATTTTAAGACTATCCAAAGGATTTGGATATCCTAACCATAACTGGTGAGGAGTACTATCAGTTTTAGAATAGGGTACTCTGTTCAGAATCCAGTTTGCCATCAGCAAAGCCTCTCCCTAATAGCATGTAGGTAGACCGAATGTGATTAGCATCGAATTCACCATCTCGGTCAATGTACGATTCTTCCTTTTTGTAATTCCATTAGATTGCGGAGAATACAGAGCAGTGGTTTCAGCAATGAAATATGCCTCCGACTCCTTAGATCGGTACTCTCCTCCTCTGTCACTCCTGAGTCTTTTCACCTGAAGTCCAAGTTGCTTCTCCACTCGAGTCTGAAACTCGATGAACTTGCTGAAATCTTCATCTTTAGATTTCAGCAGGTAAATGTGGCAGAAGCGAGGGTGGTCATCAATGAAAGTGATGAAGTACTTCATGCTGCCTCGAGTGACGAAGCTCTTGAAATCACAAGTATCCGAGTGAATCAGATCCAATAGGTTGGTGCTCCTTGTGACACTTGGGAATGGCTTCCTTGTCAGCTTTGCTTGTGCACATACTTCACACTTATCAAGTTTGTTACCCCCATATTTCGGAAGTAATCCTAACTTCTCCATGCTAGACAGCTTTCTATAATTTATATGTCCTAGCCTATTATGCCATAATACAGAGGAGTAAGCAGAAGATGATACTTCATTTATAACTGATTTGGGTACAATAGTACTGATCTTATACATGCCATCAGTATGATATGCATTGCTAAAATACATTTTCTTAAAAGTTAACACAATCTTTCCTCCTTGAAAATCCAGCTTCATACCAGCGTCACACAACAGGCTTCCAGAGACTAAGTTTTTGGCAATTGAAGGAACATGTTTTACATCCTTCAATGTGAGAGTCTTCCCTGAAGAAAGAGTCAGCACCACAGTCCCAGTTCCAAGAACAGGAACCACAGAACGATCAACCATTGATACGTTCTCTTTGGCAGCAACATAGGAAGTGAACAAATCTCTGTTGGAACAGACATGACAGGTAGCACCTGTATCTAACCACCAACCAGAGACTTTGCTGGGAGTTGTCACCTGAAAGAGCATAGCCACACAATTATCAATTTGATTAGCATTGTGTGTTGTTCCCTTCTTTAGTGCTTTGCAGTCCTTGGCAAAATGCCCTTGCTTCCCACAGTTGAAACATTTGTCGCTCTTTTTAAAATCTTTCTTCTGTACATTCAGGTTCTTCGGATTATGATTCTTCTTTTTGTTAAAAGATTTCTTTTTCTTAGAAGAATTGGTACCCTTCTCAGAGTTAATTGCCACCATGTTAGCAGATGCCTTCTGCTTAGCTAGGAGCTCATTCTTTGTGCGAGTTCGAATCTCGTCCTCGGTCCGAATAAACCTCTTCAAATCAGACAGAGTCACATGTCTTTTACTTCTTTGAATGTCCGTGGAGAATGACATCCAAGATGGAGGAAGCTTGTTGATAATTGCACCAGAAATGAAGGTTTGACAAAGACTGATATTTTCATCCTTCAGCTTCATAACAAGATTTTCGAGTTCTTTAACTTGAGGCAAAACCTCAGTGTCATCTTCAAACTTGAAGTCCAAAAATTTGTCGATGAGGTGAGAATTGGAATGTTTGGTTCAAAAGTCGCTGCTGTGGAATTCATTATAACTTTGTTCGATTACAACAAATTCGAAAGAATAATCTTTTTATAAGACTTTTTCTACACAACAAAACAAAAATTACAACTCTTGAGAAACAAACACGAAAATCGTCTATCAATTCTCGTTTTCGTGGGACTTTGCCTGTGCCGGGAACGCTTTGGTTCGTGGACCGCCGATTCACAGATCGTGAAGAGGGGGCTTATGATTCTAACTTCGTTATCGAAGTAGAAATTGAAACGATATCTTATCGAAGTAAGATAGTCGTTCTTCTTAAAATCAAGTCGAAGCTTAATTTCAAGGCGTTGCAAGAAAAGAACTCAAATCTCTGCTCTCTCTGCTCTGGAATGCTCTAACAAATGCTCGATCCTCGTCAGAAGTGACCCTAGGGGGGTATTTATAGCCTCAAGGGTCAGTAACTGCAAAAACTTAACAATCGAAGAAGTCAGTACGGCGAGACAGTGTTTACTGTCTCGCTGGGCGAGACAGCGTTTGCTGTCTCGACCCGCGAGACAGTAAATTTGCTGTCTCGCTCAGCGAGACAGTAAATGCTGTCTCGGAAAATGGCAGTTTCTCGCTGTAACTGTTCTCTCACGTTTCAAACTCCGTTATTTTGGCAGTTATCCACGTGATTTTCGCCCATGATGTTTCCCACGTCCCTTGGCAGTTAATGGACACGTGTAGGGCAGTTACAAATGTAGTTTTGACTATTTCAACACTGTCTCGCTGGCGAGACAGCAAAGACTGTCTCGCTGGCGAGACAGTTCATACTTGTTTTGATTTTTCCAAAACAGTATGAAATCCTTTCTTGTGAATTTTTGAGTGATCTTCTCTATGCTTGGGATATCTATTAGCATTTTTTGACGCCTACAGATACCCCCTCCAAAGTATTCCAGACTCATTCTTTTATAGAGGAGCATGGGATACTTTGGATAAGATAGATTTTACTTACGATCCCTTCAATGCTTGGCTGAATAGATCGTATGAAAGGACTTGTAAATGGCTTCAATGTTTAACCTCTTCTGCTGTTAGTCTATCCAGTTCTTCGTAGAATAGCTAACGTTCTCCCGGCGTCGCGTTTATCGCTTGACCGTTGTCGAGATCTTGAATTGAAGTTGATACTTGCTCTTGTGAATTCAGCGTTTACCATTGAATTGGTATATCCATTGAGAATTCCTCAGGTTATCCTTAAGAATATTCAGATTAATATTCTCCAGAAACTTCCTGTTGAGGGTGGGAATACAGTTTAGACTCGTGTACCCATTGGAGTATTCCACTGTTCCATAGTGCAAAACAGAAAAGTTTACTGTCTCGCTCCGCGAGACAGAGTTTTCTGTCTCGCTGGGCGAGACAGTGTTTTCTCTGTCTCGCTCGGCGAGACAGAGTTTTCTGTCTCACTGGGCGAGACAGAGTTTTCTGTCTCGCTGGGCGAGACAGTGTTTTCTGTCTCGCTCGGCGAGACAGAGTTGTCTGTCTCGCTCAGCGAGACAGAGTTTCCTGTCTCGCCCGGCTGCTATATAAGTCGGGACTTAGGGTTTTTAGGGTTTTTCACGTCGATTTTTTGCGATTTTCAGGCGATTCTTGGGCGATTTTCGAGCGATTTTCGACCAGTTCTTCACCTCTTCTTCTTCTCTTCGTTTCTGACTTGGGTGGTGCTTCGATTTGAAGAGATTTCATTTGGATTTGAAAGGTCTGTTTCCCCTCTTTTCTTCAAAATCTTGACTTTCGGCAACCTGTGACTGTGCATGCATTATTTCTGAGATAAGCCTTGATATATTTTGTTCAATTTTACGTTCAAAAAACCTAACTTTCCATCGGCTTTCACTGTAGATCGCATATTCATTATGTCGCCGCGTAGAGCTCGAGGAAAGGGAATCCGACCGACTGTTTAGAGCCCCGAGGAGGCTGCGCCTGCTGCACTCTCACGTGGAGGTATATCTTTTTCATCCTTTTACGAGTTTAAATACTGTATTTCGTAAATTCCATATATATATGCACCTGTATTTG